TGCGATGATAAATGAAAAAGACTGGATGTGGCATCTCAAATTCGGACATCTCAACTTTGAAAGCTTGAAGCAGTTGGGAACCAAGAACATGGTGAAAGGTATGCCCAACATTCACCAACCAACTGAGATGTGTGAAACCTATATTATTAGTAAGCAATACAGGAACAGCTTCGGAAAGGAAGCAAATTGCAGAGCAACCAAGCAAGCCGCTCGAACTAGTTCACACAAATGTGTGTGGTCTGTTGAAACCAATATTAAACGAACAGAACATATACTTCCTCACTTTTATTGATGATTAAAGTAGGAAGACTTGGGTGTATTTCCTTAAAAGGAAGTCAGAAGTGTTTGAAAAGTTCAAAGAGTTCAAAACTCTTGTGGAAAAGCAAAGTAGTTATTATATCCAGACATTACAATTAGATCAAGGTGGAGAATACAAGACGGATGAGTTTGAAGAATTCCTTATGGAACAAGGAATCAAACGACAGTTTACACTAGCTTATACTCCCCAATTGAATGGAGTAGCTAAATGAAAGAATTGCACGATTCTTAACATGGCCAGAAGCATGTTAAGAAACAAGAATATGCCCAAGAGTTTTTTGGCTGAAGCAGTTTCTGTGCAGTCTATTTGTTGAACATATGTCCGACAAAATCCTTGACAATGAAGACACCGCATGAAGCATGGAGCACTCACAATGCCGAGTGTCAGTCATCTCAGAATCTTTGGCAGCATTGCCTATGCCAAGATCCCTGAAGCACAAAGAACAAAGCTTGAAGATAAAGGAGAGAAGTGTATTCTTGTTGGATATGGTGATAGTACAATGGGGTACAAACTATTCAATCCCATCACGAAGAAAATGTTTTTCAGCCAAGATGTCATCTTTGAAGAAAATGAGTCTTGGAAATGGGACGAATCTAAATCTTTCACAAATACAGAGCTGATAATTGAAGATGAAGAATCAAATCAGCCAAGAGAAATGACTAGGAAGCCACCATCACCCAGAGAGCAAGAGATATCTCTTCGTGTTTTTCCTTCACCATAGAGGAATGAAACTCAATCACCAATACAATGAGAAATTTTAGACATGAGGCCCAGAAGGAATTGCAATCTACAAGATCTGTATGAAAATATATAAATAATAGATGAAGATACCAATCTATTTTGTCTACTAATTAGCTACGATCCAATTAGCTTTGAGGAAGCTAACAATGAAGATAAATGGAAGAGAGCAATGGATGAAGAAATCAAATTCATTGAGAAGAACAAAACTTGGGAGTTAACTACTCTCCCGAAGGGCTCCAAAAGTATCGGAGTGAAATGGATCATACCACAGCTACCAGTTGTGATAATAAATGAACAGTGAAGGTGATTGGTAATGTTTGTTTGGTGGTGATTGTTTTCATTTTTTTGATTTGATTTGATTTAATTTTTATTTATTTATTTTTTGTGTTGCAATAATGCCTCTTTGTGTAAAGGCTTCTTCCTTTCATGGAGATTTTCTTCTCTATATGTGGATGTTTATTTTTGTTCCTATGTGGAGACGCATATTCTCCTTATGTGGAGGTTCTTTTTATCCATTTAAAATGTCTTTTGTACTCTGATATACCTTATTAGACAACTTATTGTCGGATATGTAATGTAAATCTCGTGCTTTACTAAAAAAAAAAAAAGAAAAGAAAAGTTGTTGAAAGGAGCTTTGAGGCTAAAAAATGGGACAATTACAAAAACAATAAATAAATAAATAAAAACTACTCAAGGTTTTAGCTTTGCAACAAAATAAACCTTACGTTGTCAATTTAAATCCTTATCTATTGATTTTTTTTTTTAATCTAAACCATTCACTTACTTTAGTTAAGTAAAACTAATGAAAAAAAGAATATTTTAGTTATTAAATTCAATATAAATACACATAAAATGTATTGAATTTAATGACTAAATTACTCATTTTTTTAAATTGATTTTAGATAACGAAAATAGTCTAATGGTTTAGATTGAAAACAAATGAAAAGTTTAGGGTTTAAATTAGCAAGATTAAAAGCTCAGGATTTATTTATGAGATTTTTATTGATAAATCCATTCTAGAGTTGTTATAACCCATTAGGTCCACAAAAGAATATGATAACCTGATTAGTCCCTATTATTATTATTGTAATTTACTTCAAAAAAAAAAAAAATTGGATCCTAACTTTACAAAACTCTTATCCATACGATAATAGTCACATTACTTGAGTTTCGAATATTCAATAATTCTATCTTATATAGTGTTATATTTTAATGCGAGACTGCTCATTTAATGGTGGAGTGCGATTTAGTAGTAGTCGACTTAGATGCAGTCGCTGAGGTGGTTTAATGTGACCCCTCTGCGGAATTAATACCATCACCATTATACAAGGAAAATTTTAGGGATTCATATTTATTCATTTAAAAAATTTTAGCTGAATAATTATATAGTAAAAATTAAATTTATGTAGTGAGAGATTTATGTATAAAATAAATACGAATCACATAATAAAAATTTTAAATCATTTCTGAAAGTGTGTTTGTAATATTACTCAATTGTATTTAACGAAATGATAAAAAGGTCTTTGACTTTTCTGCTCCCTATTCTATGAGAAGTTATTCTATCGTTTTGGAATTCCGCATCAGTATTGTGCTTGACCAATGAGAATAATACATGAGAAAAAAAAATTCACAAAATACAGAGTAATTTTAAGAATTTTGTCAATAATTGTCACAATATTTAAAATTTTATTGATTGGACACATCACATTAATATAATGACATGATATACCTGATTTTTTGAATAATTTCTCCTTTAAAGAATAAATAGCTTTCATGTTCCAATTTCCTCTCACTCATATCTCTCTCCCTCTCTCTCTCTCTCTCTCTCTGCTATTATCTTAATTAAAAGAAGATCCCTCCAGTCCAAAATCTAGACTGGCAAGCGTTGTATGAGACTCTGGCCCCTACCATGGGCCTTCATTTGATGATCCAAACAGTTTATTTTGTTAGTTACTTTATATATTTCATCCACACACAAAATTAGATCGATTTGATAATTATAACTTGTTCAATTTATTACGTTTATCATGAAAACAATGTGTGATTTATTTTTAAAAACACAATTGTCATCTATTTTTTTGGATAAAAAAAATGATAAATTAAACATATTATAATTATCAAATCGATCTAAATTTTTTTTTTTTTTTGTGGATGAAATACACAAAGTGTCCGACAAAATGAATGGTTCTGATTATCAAAACGAGACTTATGGTGGCCTCCACAGACCCAAACAGTGACCTCTAGTTCAAATTTTGAACCAAAGGAGATCTGCCTCCATCTTAATTTTCCACATCTTTAATGTTGTTTTCACTTTTCTACTTTAAATTATAAATTTATATCAATATAAATATTTTGTTAACAAATTGTCTCGTAAATAGATGAAAGTTTGACATGTGACTTATACATGATATATCAAATGAAATGTCTAAAATGATGAGAAAATAAAAAGTAAATAAAAAAATTGGTATATTTTTTTATTTTTGTCTTTAGTGAACTTTTTTAAATTTCTTCATAAATATTCTTTCTTTGTTTGGTTTGGTGTTGTCAAAAAAACTCAATAATAGTTTTTAAAAACTAAACCAAACAGATTGATAATATCATTTTGAAAATTCCATTGGGGATATCATGTGTAAGTCACATGTCAAATTTTAATCTATTTAAGAGCCAAATTCTTAATAAAATATTTATATTGAAATAAATTTATAATTTAAAGTGACAAGTATATCATTCTTTAGTTGTTGGGATAAAGTTATGGAAAATTTACCCATAAGTCCTAGTTTCTGAAAAGTTGAACCATTTAGTCCTAAAAGTTTTCTTATGCTCCATTTAGTCCCATTTGCACATCAATCTAATGTTTGAAACATTAATCTGATGTTCGAAATTTAATATTCGAAACATTAATCTGATGTCTGAAATCTAATGTTCGAAACATTAATCTGATGTTTGAAACATTGTAATGGGACCTTTCAGTCTATAAGAAAACTTTTAGGACTAAACAGTGTATAAGTTATTAATTTGGGATTTATTGGTGCATCCCCCTAAAGTTATATTGGGTCAAGAGTTGAAGTGATACAGGACAATAATTGAGGGAGATAAATGGTAAGTTATTATAGAAACAAATAAGAAACACCCAAAATAAATAAATAAATAAATAAATGATCTAAATCTAAAACTAAAACTAAAAGTAAAAGAGTGGTTGAGTTCGAAAAGGAGAGTAATTAATGATGGGTGAATTACATTAAAGGTCTCTATAGTTTGGGATTTATATCATTTTGGTCTCTGACTTTTCAATTGTGACATATTTGATCGTAAATTTTGAATCTTATTCCAAATAAGGACAATTGAAGATACCATTTGATTGTCCAAGGATAAAACTGTCAATTTGATAAAATATAACTAATTTGACAAAAATAAATATCAAAAAAATACTTAATTTTTAAAATTATTTCTACACTCTAAAGATAAAATTATGTAAAATTGATAAATCTTTTAGACATTTATTTATTTATTTATTTTACCAAATTAATTTTTATTATGTGTTTGGATGATAATCATGGAATGGGTGGTTGTTTTTTTTCTCATTAAATTAGTTTCTATTTTTCCAAAAGGCAAATATGGCGAAAACTTTGATATCATTATTAAACTAATCCATTAAATCAAAAAAAAAAATCCACAATTAAAAATATTTCATATATTAAATGTATCAATTACACATTAAAAGTTTAACAACTACCCATTACATAATCATCATCTAAACATAGAAGAAAAATTAATTTGGTAAAATAAATAAATAAATGTCTAAAAGATTTATCAATTTTACATAATTTTATCTTTAGAGTGTAGAAATAATTTTAAAAATTAAAAAAATATTTTTTTGGCATTTATTTTTATCAAATTAGTTTATATTTTATCAAATTGACGATTTTACCCTTAAAATTCCTTTTTCTTTTCTTTCATTCCCATTCCTTTTGTTTGTCTTATTCACTATTCCATCACAACACTCCACTGCAACTGATACTTTGACACAATCCCAACCAATCTCAGCCGGACAAACTCTCACCTCCTCTAGCCAAATCTTTGAGTAAGGTTTCTTCATTCCAAGCAATTCCAGTAAGCAATATGTTGGGATTTGGCACAAGAACATACCAATACATGATCGAAAAGTCGTATGGGTGGCAAACAGAGAGAATCCACTTACAGTTACAGCAACAGACTCTGCCTCTTCAAGTCTAACAATTGGTAAAGATGGAAATCTGAGCCTACTTGATGGCATGAACAACACTGTCTGGTTGACAAATGTTTCTGTCCATTCTAACCACTCAATTGCAATGCTTTTAGACAAGGGAGACCTTACTCTTAAAGATAGTGTGTCGGGATTGATCTTGTGAGAGAGTTTTAACTATCCTTATGACACTTTTTTACCGGGAATGATGCTAGGAATGAACACCAAAACATGAGAGGAACGCTTCATGTCTTCCTGGCTGACCAAAGATGACCCATCTCCTGGAAAGTTTGTTTGCGGGTTTTCAATGGACACACCACCGCAGGTTTTCATTTGGAATGGTTCCAAACCATACTGGAGAAGCGGTCCATGGGACGAATCGAAGTTTATAGGGGTACTGGACATTGAGAATGCCTACGGCGATGGATTTAACCTCAAACACGATAATCAGCAGGGAAGTGTGTATATGGCATGGCATGTTTACAACACCTCTTATGCCCACTTTATGTTCATAACACTAGATGGAACTTTGAAGAGAATGTTTATGGATGAACAAGTCAAGAACCCGTATGTTTCTTGGATGGTTCCGGTCAATAGATGTGATATTTATGGGGTTTGTGGACCTTTTGGGGTTTGCAATAAGAATAAGTCTCCAAATTGTGAGTGCTTGAAAGGGTTTGTACCAAACTCAATTGAGGATTGGAAGAAAGGAAATTGGGCAGGTGGTTGTGTGTGGAAAAGTGATTTGCTATGCCAAAAGAACACTAGCAACTTAGCATCATCAGGAAAGGCTCAAAATGATGGATTTTGGAAGTTGAGAAGTATGAAGCTGCCGGATCATTTTGAATATTTGTACACCGAGGATTCCTCAGGTTGCCAACAATGGTGCTTGAGTAACTGTTCTTGTGTGGCATATGCATATGTGACTGGAATTGATTGTGTGGTTTGGACTGGAGGGCTTATTGATGTTCAGCAGTTTTCACTTGCGGGGAAGACCTCTACCTTCGCCTTTCGTATTCAAAGCTGGGTAAAGTTAATTTATTTGAGCCTTAATATCTTAGAATTAGCAATATCATTTTTACTTTGTAATTTGTTTTTCATTATATTTCTTCTTCTTCTTCTTCTTCTTCTTCTTCTTCTTCTTTATTTTTATTTTTATTTTTTTTTAGCAAAAGATAAGAAAAATAATGAAAAATTCATCATCAGCTTTACAACAATTTCAGGGGTTGTCCTCTTGGGTGTCTTCATGTATGGTTTGCACAGGTGGAGAGCAAATCAAAAAGGTAAGAAAGCTACATAATTGAATTCTAACAAGCAACTATGATTATTATTAACATATTTCAAATTTGGGAAATCTAAATAATTTTCAGTTCTGTGGTTCAATTTTCGTACATCAGTAAACAAAGAAAACAGGAGAAAGGGCTTTGAAATGGCTGATTCAATGTACACATTAGAGCTACCAATTATTGGCTTTGATAAAATATTAGCCGCTACCGATAACTTCAGCACAACAAACAAACTTGGGGAAGGACGATTTGGACCTATTTATAAGGTAATTATGTTCTTAAATATATGAATTAAGTGGACATTTATCCGTTGTACTAACTAATAAAAATGGTGGACTACAGGGAAAGTTAGAAGGTGGGCAGCTAGTGGCAGTGAAAAGACTTTCGAGGCATTCTGGACAAGGCGTGGAAGAGTTCAAGAATGAGATCATATTGATATCCAAACTGCAGCACAGGAATCTTGTTAAGCTCTTGGGTTGCTGCATTGAAGGAGAAGAGAAGCTATTGGTTTATGAGTACATGACAAACAAAAGCTTGGACACTTTTCTCTTTGGTTGGTTTATAGTCTCATCTTTCCTCCTATAAATTGTTCATAGCATTCAATATTGTTACTACAACTATGTCTAGCACTCAGGAAAGAAATTTTCAAACCTCTTTTCTTCTTGTTCATGCTTTAGATGCAACGAAAAGGGTGAAGCATGATTGGGCTAAAGGCTTCCATATTATTCAGGGTATTGCTAGACGGCTTCTTTATCTCCATCGGGATTCTTATTTAAGGGTTATTCATAGAGATTTGAAGGGTAGCAATATTCTCTTAGACGATGACATGAATTCAAAAATTTCAGACTTTGGGTTAGCGCGAACTTTCCAAGTGACATAAGAACTGACAAATACTCACAGAGTGGTGGGAACATTGTAAGGATCCTTTCTTTCCTTCAATAGATTTTGCTCACTTTTGCCGACAATTTTCTCTACTGATGCAATTATGTATTGATATGGAACATTTTATGTTTGAAATATAACAAATATAAGTATAATGGAAATAGCCACTAGTAAGGATCACAAGAGGCTCACCGCTTTAAAAATAAGCTTAAAATTTATCTTTGATTAGGATGGAGACGAGAGTTACAAATGAGGCTAAGTAGTTTTCATTTCGGTACATAAATTTTATTTTTGTTTATCATTTAGTGAAATGACTGAATATATATTGAGGAAATATAAGTGATTCAATAAATAAGTTTGTCTCCTTTCTTTTTTGGGTAAGCATAAATGTAATAATTTCTAATCAAATGCAATCGATACATGTCTCCCGAGTATGCAATGAGAGGGCTATTTTCAAATAAATCGGATGTCTATAGCTTTGGTGTTTTGCTACTGGAGATGGTCAGTGGCATGAGGAATATGTGTTTCCATTATCGTGAAAAATATTTGAACCTCCTTGGTTATGTAAGTGCACTAATTTCACCTTTACATGCTTTCATATATTGTTAGTCACCACCATTATATGTGCTTCTACTAATTCATATACCGACATATGTGGAACTATTCTAGGCATGGAAATTGTGCAATGAAAGCCGGGCATCAGACTTAGTAGATGAGGTAGTGATTGATTCATGTTCCTGGTCTGAAGTAATGAGATCCATACATATTGGCCTTCTTTGTGTTCAGGACCACACTGCGGATAGGCCAACAATGTCTGTTGTGGTTCTCATGCTAAGTAATGAAATAGATCTTCCACATCCAAAACAGCCTACATTCACTATTCAAAGCTTGTCAGATGTCGATCTTCGGTCACAATGCAATAAAATATCTTCCGGTAGTAAGGCATCTCTATCAATTATTGAGGGGCGATAACCAATTAACAAATTATATATATGTCGCACAACATATTTTGATATATTTGTGTTGGCTACGTATTTTGTAAAAGACTAGTTACAGTTCGACGTGTGGCAGAGTAAGGGTAATATAGGAAGACTGTTCAAGTCTTCGATCCTGATCGTACACGTGACAGTTGATATTGTCTATTGCGTGGTCCGATGGTAGTTAAATTGAATTTATCTGAATCCTAAACTTGAATTCTAGTTTCTGATTGTAAAACTGATTCAACTATTGATTTTCTTTGATTAGACTTGAATGTCTACTGTATTTTGCAATTTCCATGTATTAGAACCTCTATAATGCTAATTATATATTTTGTAACAATCAAAATCACTTCAATTAAATAATCATACATACCACACTAGAAAAATGTTGTTTTGGATGATGTTTTGTTACATGTATTGATTTACTAATTTTGTAGCCCTTAGAATATAATTGGTTGATTAAGTTGTTGAGCATCGCCTTGTTTGTTTTCACTTGTAAAAAAAAAAAAAAAAAAAAAAAAAAAAAGAAAAATGCCTAAAATGACGTCGTTTTGGGCAATCGAGCCACTCGGGCCAAACCAATTTTGAGCTACCAAGTATTTTCCTTAAAAAAAAAAAAAAAAAACCCCTCACATTTTGTCCTTTTACTCATTGCTTCTACTGTTTCAAAAATCCATAACACAAACATTTTTATTTTTTATTTAGGGTTAAGTTATAGGCCTGAATAAAATACAATCAATCTTAATTTTTTTTATTATTAATTTTTTTTTGTAATTATATTAATTTCCTCTAAAACATAAATTACTTATCAATTTAACCTATTCCCTTAACCTTGATTTGTCTAATAGAAAAATGAATGCTGCCATATTTTAATTTTAAAATGTCAACTTTACCCTTCATAGTAATCCCTATATCTAAAAATACCCATGTTTCATATCTGAATATTATATACTGAAACCCAAATGGCCTCTCCCATCCCTAAAACCAGTCACCAATGAATCACTATTGACCACCAATATCAAACACTTCATCAATAGATATATATGTATATATCATAATTTAGAATCAACAGATATCAAGCCAGTGTTTTGAAGATATGTTGCCCATAGGGACGCCCATGTGTTGAAGATTTGTTGAAAATCAAACACAAAAATTTAAGGTTAAATATAAGGGGAAATTTAGCCAAAACTCACTAGGCCCAATATGTTAGTGTGTAAAGGACAATTCAAAATATTTTACTTCATAAACCCCTGAGCAGGAGGCATGTTCTTCATGAAGGACAAACTAAGGTTCTGTTTGGAAGAGTTTTGGAAATGTAATTCTACCACTTGATTTTCACGTGGTGTTTGGTTACAGTTTTCAAAAATTAATTTCACATCCACTTTTGAAAACTCTTTCCAATGTGGGAAAATTTGAGCTAATTGGTCGTCCCCCCCCGAACATCCGTCTAGTCATCCTTCCAGGGGGACGACCGGCCGGACGTCCGGTCGTCCTCCCGGATGTCCGTCCGGTTGATCGGAACAGTGCAAATTTTTATTTTATTTTATTTTATTTTAACAATTGGCACATGTTATTTTTTATATTTTACATAAAAAAAATTCAGAATTTTTTTAATTTTTTTTTATGAGTTTTGAATAGAATTTTGAGTTGTGTTTGTTTATGAGTTGTAAATTTTTATATCAAATATGATATGTCACATCAAAAATTTCCAACTCAATTTAAACTCTTTTCAAAACTCATTCACCAAACAAATTTTCCACACCCAAATCATAATTCTAAAAATCACAAATTCAATTCTCAAATCATAATTAGAAAACTCTACCAAACGATAACTAATATTTTTCCTCTTTTATCTGGACAATCTTACCTTGGATATATATCTAAGAGATTTGAACTGTTAGCATAAGTTTGATCATTGTTCTGAGTGTTTGATCTAGAGAACCTCCATCAAGTTAAGAAAGGAAGTCCAAAATAGCTGCTATTCACATGCCAAGAAGCACGCTTGCCTCGCCTCCTCCACCGCTCTGTCATGTGATTCAGGAGAAGAAATCCACAAAGGTTGCAAGTGTTTTTGTTTTTATTGTTTGTATTGAATCCATAAATAGGTACATATCTTTAGAGTGAAAAGTGTGGAGTAGTGAAAGCCAAAGAAAAGAAAACAAATTTGTAAGAGTGTTGCTCTGTATGTTCTTCAAATTCAGTAATTTGAATAATTTTTGCAATTCCTCTCTGAGTTTCAATCACCACAAGTGATTGAATGATTCCCATCAACCCAACATAGTATTTGTGTTAGAGTCGAAATTTTATTTAATCATTGATTGATTGTTTTCGATCATGTATGCTGAATTTTTGATTAATTGTGTATTTTTTTCAATTTGTTTTTGTTGATTGTGATTCGTAATGTGTTTGTTTACTAGTTTGTAAAAATGAAAGTAAAATTTCATCTCTGCTTTTGTGGTTTCTCATTGTAATATATACTCTCTCTTTTTTACAGTAAAATTTTACTCTTGTAGTTTGTCCTTGTGTCATTTGTTTGTGAACTCATAGTGAAAATATGTTTCCTTATTGATTAAGCAGCACATAAATTAAAACAGAAATAAAACAGGTTAAATAAACTATATAAAACAAGTTAAATAAACTAAACCAAAATAAAATATTTTAAAATAAGAACAGATAAGTAAATTAAGCTCACAATCGTTTAAATTAACTTACAATTGGTTAAATACATAGTTGTTTACTGGAAGTAACTGGAAAATATAGCTTCTACTTGCATCCTTAGAAACCGAATTTTAAAACAAACTTAAAATTTTACAGAGACTGAGAGAAACTGCGAAGAAAATTGTGAACTCTTTCTCCCTCTGCCTTAGCCTTGATTAAGAAGCCTCTTTTATAGGCAAAGTGGATAGCTGTTGAGCTTGTGAATCTTGGAACTGTGAGGTCCGTGACTGGAGCTGTGAGGCTTGTGACTTCAAAAGTTGAAAAATACTGTGAAACTTGTGACTTCTGAAAAGCATGAAAATAAGAGGTACGTGGGTGCATAGAGCATCTTTCTGTGACCGAGAACTTTTTTTTTTTATAGGGAGGGAACGAGGGAATGTGACTGCACACTTGACTTATAAGGAATCAATATATATATAGATATATATCAGCAGCTTTTCTTAAAGTAAGAGAAGTGATTAAAGCTGATTTGTACATAAATAGAATCCAATGGCTGGCAGTTTAAGCATATGGGTCCTGAGCATCTTGAAACTGGGGCCCATAAGGATCATTATTGGTTGAAGCCTCATAGGAACTAGATTCTTCAGAGGTTTCATCTTCAATCTGTGATTTGGCTTGCGCCATCAATAGCTTGGCCATCTGAATCAATTCATCACTAGATGACTTGGTCTTAGCTTTGGGCTTTGACTGAGCTGACTTGGATTTAGATGACTTGGGCTTGGAAGAGCTGGTTATTGGGCTTTCAAGTCTGACTGGTGGAATTGGGCTGCCTTGTGTGGCTGAAGTAGTTGGGTTCTGCTGAGCTTTGACCATGGCTAGAGTTAGAGCATAAGAATTGACTGGAAATTCCTCTTGGACTTGTTCAATAATTCGATGAGATTTAAATGTATCCCACCATTTGACAAAATGAAGTCTGGTGACTATATTTTCAAAAATAGCTTATTGCCAATTGAAAATCCAAGGGACTTTGTATTTGGACATAAAAATGAGTAATAAAGGAAATTGACTTTGATGTTGACTAAGTTTATAGACAGAAGCGAAATAGTGAATTTGTTCCATTAATACAGATGGAATAATCTCAGATATGGCACCATGTTAAGACAACCATCTGAGGAACCATGTGGGAATTGTTGACTTGAATTTATGATCAAATTGGAGAAACCAAGAGTGAGTATACGACTCATTTTGATGTAACAGGTTTTTGAACCAAGCATCCATATAATCATAATAACTATATTGGATGGTATGACCGGGTAAATCACGAAGTTGAAAAGGGAGACCCCATTCATCAAGAGAAACAGTATTATGAATATATAATGAATGGTTAATGATTTTACTGGTATATTTTCGATCATAACTAGGTTTAATAATGATTGATTGATGATGAAAAAGAATGTCTTTGTAGAAAGTAATTGACTTCTCTGGAACAAGAGAAACAAAATGCCATCGAGGAGGGAAATATGATTTAACTAGGTCAAGAACATTATGAATATTCTTGTGAATAGGTTCCTTGAAGGAAAAATTAATAGATTGGGTTTTAACATAATCAGTTCTGGTTGTTCTGACTGGATTAGGTGGATAAGGAGTAAGTGACTGGGAAGAGGAAGCAAATGGGTCTGTAGTAAGTGCAGAAGTATAACTAGCTTCAGGAATATTACCAAGAACTTGGTAATGATTGACTAAATCAACAGGAGGAAGAGCAACAGGCTGACTCGCTGGAGCAATGGCCTTGCTGGGAGGTTTCTGGGATTTTTGACTAGACATCTGTAAGAGAATGAACAGAATTTAGCATCCACTGACGATATCTAATTTGTTCAAATGGTAATGAAGACAATTAGTATAATGAGCAAATAAATTGTGGCGACTGGTAATTTGATCAAATTGTATGAATTGTGCACAGCGAGTAGTTTTGCGAGCTGTCTTAAGGCAAGCAATACGGTAAGCAGTTTGGTAAACAAGTTCTCTATAATAGGTGACTTTTGATTTAAGGTAGGAAATAAAAGGAGTTGCCATCCCTTTCCCTCCCTGTAAAAATGCTCAGGTAAGGAAATCAGGAATAGAATTTTGACTACCAGGTATATAGGCAATATGAAAATCAAAAATACTTAAAATAGATTGCCAGTGGGCAAAAATATGCTTACTAGCAATATTTTGAACATCTTTTTCTAAAACATATTTAGCACTTTTATAATCAACACGTAGTAAAAAATTTTGATTTACAATATCATATTGAAATTTACTAATACATAAAACAATAGATAATTTTTTTTTTTAATAATACTATAATTCTTTTGTGCTTTGTTCCAGACACTAGAATGGAAACGAACAATTTGTTCAGATGACCGAGGAGTTATTTTCTGAAGAAGGATACCACCATAACCAACATCAGAAGCATCAGTTTGAATAATTTTGAAAGAATTTTCAGTAGGAATACCAAGATAGGGTAAAGTC